CAAGCTGTAAACACAAAAGTACAAGGCTCCGCAGCAGATATCGTCAAGAAAGCCATGATAAGTATAGAAGACAGAATAAGGTGTAGCTTCTCAGATTCAGCAATGATATTTCCAGAGGTGAATACCACGCGCAAACTGCGAAGCAATTTGCAACAAAGAGGGGGTTATCTAGTTTTACAATTACATGATGAATTATTATATGAAGTAAGTATTACATATCAGAGCCTTTGTCTATCAGTTCGAATCTATTGAAGTTGTTTCAGTTTCCGAATCGTATATATTGTGAGAAATATAATTTTATTATTTTATATATGCTAAATTTATCTGAAATATAATATTAAAATATTACAGATAAATTTTTTAATCCTTTAATATTATTTCAGATAAATTTAGCAGATCTGAAAGAAGTTGCTGCAATAATCAAAGAATCAATGGAAAATGTATGCCAGCTTACCGTGCCATTGCCTGTAAAACTCAGGGTTGGGCCTGCCTGGGGCGATTTAACTGATTATCAATTTTAGCAAAACTATAATCGTAACATTATCATGTCTTTTTAAAATCAATATTTCTATTTTTATACATTTTTAATAATTGAAGTATTTATCGTGTTGAACTATTTATGGATCATGTTAACTTTAAGTAGATATTTTATACATTTATCATTTATATATTTATCTTTTATATTTATGAGAATTGTAAATATTCTAGATTGTTTATTTCAAGTCATATTAGTTATATATTGTTTTTTCATACAATGAATATTTAAAATCGATAGAAAATTATAAATAGTAAATAATTGATCATTATGAAATTGCATATGAAATGTAATTCGGTAATCTTTGATGAAGCACTAATTATCATTCTTAAAGATCGATATTTGAATCACATTATTTTTATATAATCATATTGAAACTTTTAGGATTTGTGTTAATATTTAAAATTAAAAGTGTTTTATTTCTTTATCTTTCATATTTATAAAAATTACAAATGTTTCTAATTATTTATTTTATTGTCTACTATTTACATATATTATGCATGTAAGAAATAAAGATTAATATATATGTAATAGAAATCGTAAATAGTTTATATAATGAATTTCCATAGTTTTTGATAAATTTTTATATTTACACTGCAGAGATCAAACTATAATAAATTTTGAATAAAAAAATGTTTATAATATACTTCTTCATATTTTTTTTATTAAACTTCTCTTTTTGAAAATAGTTTTCGAAGATTATACAGTATAAAAAGAAGACTTAAATTACCAGAAAAGAAAACTAAAATTACAAGAAAACGCTTTTAAAAGAATGTACATTCCAATATTAAACTTGATTTATCAAATGTATAGTATCTATAGTGTACTAAACTTTATATCGCTTTATAATAATAAGACGATTATCATTAATGCGACATGATGCAATAACATGATTTTTATTTTATGAGATAATATAAAGTGAAATGTGAATTATTTGTATGAAGATAATGCCAATTGCTTACAAACAATAAATATACTTTTCATGATATAATAATGTTTATTACAACGACTGCCTATCTAGTTAACTATATCTGTACTATATCACATCACAAGGCGGCGCTAAAGATTGATGCAATTTTGTTACCGCTGTTTGCACTATCTGCTGGAAAGTCTCGTCCTCTTTGCTGGTCACCTCCAAATTCAATAGGTCTATGTGGGCCTTTTTGCCATCAACCGTAACGTAGAGTTTCTCACCCTTGAATATCTTGGGCACGGAATCTTCACCAAACATCTCCTGCAGCATTTCTATAAGACACTCCTTAAAGTGCATCCTGTCCATTTTGGTGGGCGCAGGTAACATTTTCGGCGACTGGTCCATTATCTCGGCCTGCAGTATCGCCGTGAGAACGGAATCGGCATACATATCGTTCACCGGCGTCGCTATCCATTCCATCGTAACGATTTTGCCGTCGATCGTAACGTCGACGTTCTTGAACACCCTCAGCTTCTTGTCGTCTATAACTTCCAGGCTGCCAGCTATTTGTGTTAGCAGATGCTTCAGTACGGGCAACGACGCGGAGAAGTACACGCTCTGCCGCTGTATTACCTGACTCATACTCATGTCCGTGTACTTGGACAGATCGCAGGGAGCCAGCATGTGATAATTGAAGTTCCTCTTCACCAGCACGCCGGACAGTTTTTGCTCTGGTTTAGGAGTCTCCATCGCCAATGTGCCCATCACCTTGGCGGTTTTCTCGCCTCTGAAGTAGAGCTCCACTGCAACTGTATTTCGCGGATTGTGTATTTCCATAGTGGTGCTGGGATCATCCTCATATTCCCGTTGCAACGCCGCTTTCAACCGACCCATCTCGTTCTGCTCGCCATGCACTAGCACCACGTGCGGTGGCTTCAAAGTGCGTATAAATTCCGACGTTTGCTGATAATCTGTGTGAGCTGAGAAAGATATGTAATCGACAGACATCTTTAATGGTAGTTTTTGTCCGGACATGGTTGTGATTTCCTCTGGTTCCGACAGAATAGTTTTGGCCAGTGTACCCTCCACACAATAACCAGCAATTATAACCCCATTTTTAGCGTCTGTGCACCAAGACTCAAATAATTCTCTTGATAAACCGCTTTGCATCATACCAGGCGAGGCCATCACCACGCATGGTCCGATATCCTCGAAATGATCTATTCCTTTCAAATTGGATATGTGCTTGAACACAAAGGGATTGTTAATGGCTATTTGGCGTCTGATTTTGTCGTTCATGGCATTTACATATGTTTGATAAACAGCCATACATTTCTTTGCTAAAGAGGAAGCATAATAGATTGGTATTTCGTGCAATTCTGAATGCTGACTCCAATATTCATCTAAAATGAGAAGAAGCTCCTGTGCTCTTCCCAAGGCAAACACAGGTATCAAACATCTGCCACCTCTGTTTACAATCTCATGCACAAGATTTGTAAATCTGCCCTCTCGGTCTTCCCTCTTCTCATGGATGTGGGTGCCATAAGTAGACTCTGTAATTAAAACGTCAGGATGAATATTTGGAATTTCAGCTGCCATCAAGTGTCTGTCTTCCTGTCGGCTAAAGTCTCCGGTGTACAGGATCTTTACACCAGCAATTTCTATCATAAACATAGCGGCGCCCAATACATGGCCTGCATTGTAAGCCCAGAATTTGATACCAAACACATCTTTTTCTTCGTGGAAGTTTATTGTCTCTATCTTGTCCATACTGGTCTCCAGGTCAGATTCTGTATACAGCATCTGTTCAGTAGCTATGTTGCTGACTTTAATGTAATCTGATAGTAGCCAGCGATAAATGGCTTTGGTGGCATGTGTCATGAAGCAACGACCCTTGAAGCTTGTCTTTAGCAAAAACCAGGGCAATGCTCCACAATGATCCAGATGAAAATGAGAAATTAATAGTAAATCGATTTCATCAGCCTCAACCAAGTCAACGAACGGGAGAGCGTCCATTCCCGACAAACCAGGATGTATGCCACAATCTAGCATAATCTTTTTTCCCTTAAATTCTAACATAATGCATGATCTGCCGACTTCTTGACCCGCGCCGAGCGGTCGAATCGATAGCAAATCGCTTTCCTCCGCCGGCACTTGCGCGTCGTTTTTTCTTTTCGTCGACATCTTGTCAAAATAGTTGATTATTTTTTCTAAATTATCCTTACTATCACAAAACTTTGTCAAAATAATGTATTAAACGGCAAGCATTTTTTAAGGTTATGTGTTACCACGCACTCGTCACATAAGGAATATATTAAGGAGAATTTACACTATGCTATGTTACTGGATAACGGATGTTACATGTATAGACAGCAAAAAAATGTATACTTTTCTTGATGAGTTTTGGAACTAAAATCGCATTTTAGTGCGTTTCATTAAAAAAATGTAATTTGCTTGGAAAAGGATTATACAAATATATTGAATGTATTAATTGTGGCCAAAGAATAAAAAATATATTTTTTATAATATTTCTAATAATGTTTAAAGAATCTTTATTTGATTTAAATAAATATAACTACTCGAATTTCAAAAACTTTGGCGCGATGGATTAATGATAATTAATATAAATTCGATCTATCAACATTTTTCTCAAGATTTTTTCCTAAAGACATATTAAGAATATATTTTTCAGAATTTTTTCATTTATTTATCCTCCAAAACATAGATAGCAAAAATTTGTAACAGAAATTTATTCTACTTTAAATTTTTAATAATTCTATATTTAAAATTAAAAAATTGTTAAAAATAAATTCCGCAGTTTTACAATTAATTTTTTTTCTTATTTTTAGTAAAAATAATTTAATCACATGCAATTTTATAAATATAAACAAGCAATACAAAATTAATTTTTGCAATATTTTATAAGTCATAGCAGAAGCTGGAAAGACATTGCAAAAATCCATTTAAAAAAAATCTATTTAAAGTTTTTATTTTATTTTTACTTAGCTTTTCCCACGCACAAAGTTTGCTATGTTGTAAAATAAAGCTTTAAGTGTATTTTCTGAAAATAAGATATTTGTTTATATGTCTTTCCCAAATGACAATCCCAATTTGTTCAAATACGGGGTATCGGATATATGAACAAAAATGAAAAAAATGAACTTATTTAAAAACGTACCTCAATACATAAATTTTATTAAGGTATACATATGTTGGTTTATTGATTTTTTTTCTTTTAATGATAATATTATCCTATTTTTATCTGCTTATAACGTAAATTGATACTCAATCGCCAAATCAATTCATTTTGGCCCTATTATAAAATAGAACTGATGTACATATTTACATTATTTACAGCATTCGTTATGAATACGTATATGAATCATTTAACTAAACAATTGCACATGGGACGTCGATGTTGGTTACAAGTGGGCTTCTCAAGCTACCTGGAAATTCCATCATATATCAAATAGTCTTAAAACGAGCAAATTTATTGGAGTGACAAAGGAGATTGAGTTTGCAATCGTAGTAATACATTCATTTTATGAGTGCAAACGATTTATACACGAATTAAGCTTAATTAATTTGACGAATAAATAATAAAAATCATTTAACCCTTTGTGCTTGATTATCTGCAATAAGAATAAAATGTGCAAAGATTGTAATATTACAAAAGATATACTAGAATACACAGGGTGCTGCAAACTGTGTATATGAATATTTTAGGGATAGATTATTATTTCTGAATATGACATCGATTTTTTCCTCCAGTGAATATTTATAATTTCTCCTACTTTAATACAAGATGTTTTAACAATTGTGTAAATGTGTAGATTAGAAAAAATAATCTTTTTTAATCGGTATTCTTAAAGTCTACTCCAAATTAAACAAATAAAATTAATTATCTGCACCTATAAAACTTTGATATTTACAAATTTTTTAATTTTTTTTAGTAGATATAAATATCAATTTTAATTTGACGGTTTTTTAAGGAACTTCAATATTAATTTCTTGAAAAAAATTAAAATATTCACGCTCACTGAAACACCCTGTATATCCTGTATAATATTACACATTATTATAAAAAATTTTTTTTTAAATTTTAGATATTCTGACTTTCTCCTATTTTTTTATTCCTATCAAGTATAGATTTAAGCTGCAAAACGTCCATTCACAAATTACAAATTTTCCCATATAAAGTTATATATAATATTTTGTCCTATCTTAATCGCAATGCGCAATTCCGTTATGAATGAAATCTTGTGATAAAAACTGAATTCGTTTATTAACAATCACACTTTTACTTCCATTTTCATACTGCTCAAATACATTATACATTCTACATCTACTTTAATAATTCGTATATTCATATTACACAGACATCCTTTCCTTATTTTATCATTTTCACATTCAACTTTACTTGTTTTCAACGTGTGATTGTTTTTATCAATGCACAGTCTATATTTTTTTTCTAGAACTAACTAGATATCTTTTGTCAAAATTTATTATGTTTTATGATTTTTTTTTATTATTTTATTCGATTACTTTTCCTATATTAATTGTCAACAAGTTGATAATCTTTGCTGAGCATTGAATTTTATGAGTTCAATAGACTTCAGGAATAACAAAAAGTAAAAATATTTGCACATTTTCGCTACACGAAATATCTGAACAATGACAAAAACACTTCGAGTACAAAGGGTTATTATCCTCTTAAAAGAGATTCCATTATAATACATGTAATATGCTAACTTTTGCACACTGTACCATATTAACATCTTTCAATTTGAGTTATATTAAAACATTCACGAGTAATCCTTACAACTGTACTTCTTATGCTTACTAATCATTCCTTATTGGTCGTCTCTCCCAAAATTAATAATTGGAACTCGTTTTAGTATATTTGATAAACAATTAATATGTACACTAGGCATCATTACTTACACTTTCCATTTAGAATTTTTGTTTTGAATTTAGCTTTGAATTTTTTAATTAACTTTTTAACTAGCCAACAAGATTTTTAGATAGCTCTGGATTTTTTAAATAACAGTCACGATGCGTAAATATTCTTTACATTCAATCCGAAAATGCCTCACTGAAAGTGTAAGGCATTAACAACGCCTAGTATATGATAACATTATTTCACAGACAGCTTTATATCCTCTGTTCAATATTGCTCTCTTACATGATGCTCTCAAACGAAAAGAAATACCTCAATTTTAAATTTAATTCGTTATTTCTGTTTCAAAGACCAAATTATTCTCCATTTTTGTGAATAATATACACAAGTACGCATTTTTGTTTAACTTAACATGTATATCATGTATATTACAAGACATTAGTTTAATTTTGCATTAAACACCAAGATATTGTTATTTTATAATCAAGTTTTAATCTCCGAATTCAAGATAGCTTTTTATTTTGAAAGTATGAATAATGATATTTCACTGAATTTACATTTTCTAACTATTTTGATTTATATTGGAGAGCAATATATGATGAACCAACATCGATCAGTCTTGGAATTATAGTAATCAATAAAATACGGCCTTATATACATTGCAAAATATATAAATATAGAAGAATAACAACTAAGATCCGTAATTATTATATGATAGTTGATATTCGTAATATTAATTCATAGGCCCTTGCGTGTAGAAAATTGAACGCAATTCGATACGAGCCATCTTACACTTACATTGGGCAAATGATGTGCAAAAACTTGCAACACGCACATCTCTCACGTAAAATAGACATTGTAAAAAAATTCTTTACAACCATTGACACGTGAAAGTGCTGCATACCTTTGTAAGTATTAATTGGATTAATTATCTTTATATAATAATTAATTACTACTAGTTGGCAAACATGTTCCTTCATTGCGTAGCCTTCCCATCGCAGGAACTACTCGAGAATCTTTGTGACATATATTATAATAATTAATCTTCATTAAAAATTTGTCATTAGCTTAGATAATTGAAGTCTCAAGTCACTGGACCTACGTAGTATGCAAATGTTCAAAATATAGCATGTAACATAATAAAATCCCAACCCCACAATCAAACTTGCTTGATTACATATGATACAAATATATATATATATAGAGTATATGTATATATATATATATATATATAAATGTATAAAGAACAATTTATATTGAAGTCTTAGATACCTTCGTGAGTTTATGTTTTGCAAAAAAAGAAGAATAAAAGAAAAATAAGAAACAGATTTAAATAAATATAAAATTTTTGAAATTTTTAAACAAATTTTTATAAATGTAGAAATCTTTTCAATAATTTTTTATTCTCATTTCTATATATTTTTTTAAATTGTCAAATAGAAAGACTTATTATGATATATGCGATAAAATGTTTGTAATAAAAAAATCTAAGAATCTAAGAATGAAAGAGTTTCGTGTCGAAATAAACTATAAATCACATTTTAATGTACGTTAAGTATCATACATTTATAACGTATGTTAATAAATTTGTTGGAAATAAAAATACTTTGCACTAATTAATAGAAACCTAATAATGTAACAGAAATTTAATAGTAATTTGATAAAAAAAAAAAAGACTTTAGATAAATTAGTTGTCTAAAGCATAAACAAATAATAAAATTAATAATAACACCCGGTTTATTCTACGTATGGCAATGCTTAAAGTGCTATCGTAAGACACTTTCGGATACATAAAAAATTTATATACTTTTAGTGTAATATAATAATAATAAATATTGTAATATTATAATATATAAATTTTGTAAATTTATATATTATAATATATAAATACAATATTATATTAAAAATGCGGCATATATCAACGCATGCTTATACGAAATCGAATAAAAATATTAATAGTAGACCCAGCACTTCAGACTTAGCACTTGGATACCATTATATACTCATAATCTCTTCATTGTCATTAGCTCTGTGCCTGTTCGTTATATATTTTTCCATGTATCATAAAAACGTGCACTCCTATCGAGTACAATAAAACAGCCAGTTGCACTGCCGTACATCAACCAGCGTTAAAAAATTCTTAACTAAACTTCCGACGTAGTCCCGCCAGCAATTGTAGCTATAATTTAGGAAAAAATAGCAAATCGCTAATAAGTTAGCAGGACTGTCTCGTGTAATTCAAGTGGAACCAAGTTAGCGTTTGAAACCGAGATTGATATCGCGTTGCAATTTCGATGAGTTCAGTTTCTAACATGAAGATGCGATAGGAGAAAGTGTCCACAGCATTAAAAACCGAGCTTGTCGTCATCTTACACCGATCTCAATCCCCGTTAAAGCGTAAAAATATAGTTCAAGTCCCTGAACATTCGCTAAATTCTTGCTGTAAGTACAGCTCGGATAATCATCCGACTAGTCTCCATTGCGACAATGAAAAGGGTTAAACGAACGATGATCTAGTAGTTCCTTATTTAGTTCTCGGTATTTACAGGCTCGCGCGCATGATGAATTCGCACGTGCTTGTTGTGATTCGACTTGGTGCCGCTGGACTTGCCGCAAATGTGACACGTATATGGTCGCGCACCCGAGTGCACTCGTAGATGCTCCTTGAGATAGTACGAGCGATGGAAGGTCTTGTTGCACACGTCGCACGAATACGCCTTGTTCTCTTCATGCTCCTTCACGTGCCGCAGGCAGTTGTACTTCCGGATAAACTGCGCGCCGCAGTAGTTACACGTGTACGGTCTGACGTTCCGATGGGAATTCATGTGAGCAGTATAGTCGCTGTGACGGTAGAACGCCGCGCTGCACTGAGTACATTTGAACGGCTTGGTACTGCGTGCCGCGTGCGTCCACTTGTGCAATTGCAGATTCCACTTGGTGCTAAACGCCTTGGAGCAGACCTGGCATTCGTACGGTCGTTCGCCGTTGTGCACTCTCATATGCACCGCCAATGACGAACGTAAGTAGATGCATTTGCAGATGGGACACTCAACGTTCTCGTTCTCGCGCTGAGCGTCAGGAACAAATCTGCGATTGTGGGCGCGACGCATGTGACGCGTCAGGCTGGCCATGTGGATGAAACGCTCGTTGCAGTACGTGCACGCTTTGGGCTTATCGTCGTGAGTCTCCTTGTGCCAGGCAAGCTTCTTCTTCGTGTGGAACACCTCGCCGCAGTGGCATATGTAGTCTTTGAGCTTCTTTCTGATGTTGAGGTGATGTCTATTCTTGTGCTGCGTGAGATTCGAGTATCTGCGGAAGGTCTCGTTGCACAGACTACACTTCACAGGCGCGTTGCCGGTATGCCCGTTGGTATGCTCGTCCAGTTTCTGCTTCGTGAGGAACGCTTTGTCGCACACGGTGCACGGAAACGGTTTGATGCCCAGATGCCGCTTCATGTGTAGCTTGAAGTTTTGCTTTCGGTAAAAATATTTGCCGCATTGTCCGCACTCCAATGGATGTATCTTTAAATGAGCGTTGAATAACAACACCGACGGAAACTCCTCGTTGCATATCTGACACTTGGTGCCCTCGCGTATGCGCTTATTCACCTCGGCGATGTGCATACGTCGGTGATGTATATGCAAGGATTTCTCGCTGCTGAATCGTTGATTGCATATGGTGCAAGTCACCTCGATATTCGACGGTAACGTCAGATTCTCGCCGATCTTCTGATCGGCCTCAGCCTTCGTCAGACCGTCCGCTCCAGGCTGCGATGGCGGTTGCAGCTGGTGTAGAAGCGGCTGCTGATGGTACATCTGTTGCACGTGAAGACCCGGCACGAATATATCGTCGAACACATTCGCGCGACTGTCCAACAGTTTGATGTCTTTCACTTCCGGCTGATCCAATTGATCTCTACTGCTGCTGGGCGCCTCCTTGTGCACAGTCGTGCTGTGAACTCTGCGTTCCTTTGGGCAATCGAACACTTCGTTACAATGGGAACACTTGAACGTCCGTTTGGTCGGTGTCTTCCGGTCTCGGTCCAAAAACAAACTCGAAGTAAAGTGCGTCGCTAACGATCTACTATCCAACAACGGCCCGCTGATCTCGTTGTCTGAACCTTCTGATTCCTCCCAGCTTTCACGTGCCAGTAGATCGTAAGAGGTCGACATACGTGAAGATTCTTGACCCATGTATAGCTACACAGTAGAAACATAATGTACAGAAATATATACCAAAAATATGAGCCTCCATTCTTGTGCATGCATATTATTCCATCTTTGAATATATGGATTGTAAGAAAAGAATTTATATTCATATTCTTAGATTTACATTACTGTTTAACTTGCGTAAGCTATTCTGGAAAGATTTGTCAGATTTTTATAAGATTAATTTACATACGCGCACGAAAGAGATGTCATAATAAAATAATTATGCAATGAATGTAACATTGCATAATTCGAATATGAGAATTTTAATAAAAATAATAATTTCATAATTATTTAAAAATGACGAAAAAACAAAATTATTTTAATAATTGAAATATATGCAAAATACAACTCAACGTTAAATTTTTAAATAAGTAAAGAAATAAATAACAAAATAAAATAAATTTTTATGTATTATCATATTTTTTAATCGCATGCACATTTGTATTATAAAAAATATAGAAAAATCTGCAGATAGTTATAAATCAAAATATTTATACAATAATATCTTTTTGAATATATAAATAAATTAGATTTAAAGATATAAAAAAAAATGATCCGTAAATATCAAATCAATACATAACACGAAATGTATGAACAAAGAACGTGTGATACATGAAAAAATTTCTATCGTATATAAAAATATTAAAAGAAAAATAAAGCACACACCTGCCATGCAGATTGCTCCGTGCATCCATTGCTCTCCTGCTCTGATAATTCGCCTCTGGGTGGCATGGTCTCATCGGCGCGCATGTTAATACTCTTCACTTCCTCGTCGATACCTATTGCACCTTCGCTACTCGCCATAGACTGCTGGCTAGTCGCACTCACCGCTTTCTGGGACGAGTCACTTATAAATGTACTAGGAACTAATATTTGTAGTCCATCGAACTCAAAAACGTTTATCGGCCCGGCGTGAGCATCTTCATTTATGTTGAGCAATTCCGTCGATTGCTTCGATATTGACGACTTGGTAGAATGAAAACTTCTGGATTCCGTGCTGGTCGTAGGATTCGATTCGGACAGATTTAGGAGATTTTGCGTTTTAGTGGTCGTCGTCGTCGTCACGGAATATGACTCGTGCATCAAGACGGATGGCTGCGAGTGAATCGCGGGGAATGAACTAACGTGCTCAGTGATCACTGATTGATGATACATGTAACTACTACTCGATTCCTGAACTTTTTCGACATTCGCGCACACCGTTGGGCGCGCTTCCTGGTGCTGATGGTCAGTCTTGATTTTCTCGTCGACCTGAGAACAGTCAATCGGATCTTTCTCCACGTTATTATCTACATTATTATCTATACCGTTGCTGTCCTCGTCATGACTTACGCTATCACTGTCCATGTGACGAAACGAATGCACGGATGTCGGTGAACAGGGTTTGCTGAGGTCCTTCCTAACTCTTAATACAGAAATACCACTGATCGCGGATAACGGCGTGTGCGATCTGGCTTCTGAATTATCACCGCCGTATTTTGCGAAAGGTGTGTGCGGGCTAGGAATCTCCTCGATTTCCATGTCTGCCTCGTCGAGATTATCGTCAAGCTTGTCATCCTCGTCATCGTCTTCGTCCTCGTCATCGTCGTCATCGTCGTCCTGCAGGGTCGTCACGTCGTCGAAGTTGGCGCGATGATACCCGCTGAGATTTTCGCTCGATCCGAGCTCCGATCGCGTGCTGTAACGACGTCCTCCTGTCCTGGTAGCGCTCTTCTTTCTCGCGATGGGAGACGCGGGTGCTGAACAACTCTGCCTATATTTATACAACTGAAGATTCTTTTCTAATATTTTCAATTCGTCATCTAGTTTAGGGCGCTCTGTATTGCATGACAAATAATTACAAGTATTTTCTAATGTTCTCAGTTCATTAGCCACATAATCACTCGGGCACCACATATCATTTTCCTCCTGTATATCAGGCAAGATGTGATCTTTCTCGTTGGCGCCCGGAATTGTAACCACAGTATCGTGAATCACGCTCTCCTCCCTGTCTATCATGGATTTTTCCCTCGGGTCCATTAATTTCTCTTCTTGATTGTTCTGTACACTACTTTCTTTTTGAAGTGAGGCATTATTAAGCTCCGTCTCCATTATGGTTATCAAATTCTCCAACCTTTCCACCGAGTTGAGTTCTGGTTGAGCAGGCTCTTTCAGCGCGTCCACCGCCACTGGATCCCGCAACGATGCAACGCTATTGCTGACACTATTGTTGCGACTTGCGGGTCTTTCATCGCTCATATCCGCTTCAAACTCACAAGACTCAACGTTACTTGTTGCATTAGTTTTTCTACTGGATGCTCTCCCGTATCCTTCTTCCATTATTTGTTGTGTAAATTGTTGTATTTCCGGTTGCTCATATGTTACCGATTTATATTGTAAGTCCACATTTGAAATGTTATTCAATGGCTCCTCATCCTCTAGGTCTGGCAGCACACTCTCTACTTTATCATCATTAGTATTACCTATAGCACAAGTGATTGTGACGGGTCTAGGAACAGCATTGTATTCGTGCTGCACTGTACTTTCACTAGTAGGTGTACCTTGTATCTGTTGTCCTCTATGATCGATTGATAACGCATTGTCGTTGCTCTCTTCTCGCCTGACGGATGTATCCTCAATCTGTAGTAAAGGCGATGCTGGGAGATCTGGAATAACTTGTTCAGGATCAGGCTCATTCTCCGGCAAAATCTCAGGCAGAATCTGTTTCGGCTCAGGACTATTTACAGATACCGTCAGAGTGGTTGTTCTGACATTGTTTTCACCGGCCATAGTGACTACTGGTCGGATCCTGGTCCCGCCTGGGATAGCTGCAACTGGCGAGATCATTTGGACGGTGGGTATTTGCTGCTGTTGATACATACCGTATGGATTGTACAGCATCTGCATCATCTGATTGGCCTGCGGTGCCATCGCGTACTGTGGTATCATCATGGTCCCATTGTTCACAAACTGCTGATAGCTAAACGAGGTGAACTGCGGCGGCATCATGGTATTTATGGGTGGATACTCGAATATAGGTCCTATAGGATATGGGGAATGAGTGGTGATGTGTGCATTCTGTGATACTTGAGGCGTTGCCTGAGCCGTCTGTATAGAGGTAGGAGCCTGAGGTGTAGCGTGTGGTTGCAGCGAAGCTGATAATTGTGTTGTTGCTGGTACAATTTGTTGTTGTTGTTGCTGCTGCGTCTGTAATGAAGAGGCACTGGCTTTGATGAGGGCATCTATAACTTGTTCCTTGGGATGGGTATCCAAGTGCTTCTGCAGACTGATGCCCTCGCGTAGGTACAGGGTGCACACGGGACAGGCCACGGCCCCGACGGGTAACGCCGCACCGTTGAGCTCCATCGTTACCCACGACCCTTAATTAGTTGTTTTTACACGCGTCGCGTATAATTAAGCCTAGCGGAAAAAGCGTTCAACACGTCGACCAGCCGATATAACGAACGGATCTTTCATGCATAGACTTCTTGTCTAAACTTATCGCGATCGCCGCTCGTCGTCGTATCTTTTGCCGTGCGTGCGTCTCTACCCGTTCCGGCAGCGCTCCTCTCTACGTGATGAAACGGAATAATCGTCGCCGGGGTGGCAGTCTCGCGTCACATCTCGTCGCCTATCGGGCACGCGGTCACGCACGTATACGGCACAGCTGCACACTGCTGTGCCCCAAAAATATCGACGTCCATGGCTGTCCCCGTAACGCCTGACGGCCGTACGCGGTGCTGTGTGTGCTGTGTGATGTACTTGAGCAGCGGCGGCGGCACACAATAGCGCGGCGGCGGCACTGGCTCGTCGCCACCAGACAAATCGATATCCTGTTAAATCGCCAGCCAGCCGCCAGCCTCCCCAGCCTGCCTGCGCTTATTAAATTACACCTGCCTGCACGCGGCGCGGTCGACGCACGACGGACGACGCGTGTCGGGACGCGCAGCGCGATCGCTCCGAAGTACACACGACACTCGCGCACGCACACGGGCTGGTCTTTTTCCGCGGCGATTATCGCAACGGCATGTTCCTCGACGGCACAGTCGCAGCCCCAAAAACACAACAGAAAACAGCTACGGGCGATGATAATTCCGCCTGGGAATGAGAGCAACAAGAGCTACCGAAGGATACGGGCGAACATGTGGCGCCTCCTGCTGCTTCGCCACCCATGGTCCTCTACATTCGAACACGATTGCAAGACACCTGCCATTTATATGGTTATCTATAAAAAAATTATAACATTTTTTTCTTCTTGGTACAGTTCGAAATGCGCTAAAATCGCGCAAAGATTGACTTTGCCTTAGAATGCTTAGCATTCCTGTACAAAATAAAACGTTACAGTTTTTTTGCGGACAATTATATCGATACATAAGAGACATTTCTACACGTTGACCCTATGGATCCTTTACATTGCGTCTTTTTGTCCCTAGAAGTCTTTCTATTATTGAATGTCGCAAATATATTGCAACATTCATCCTCTTTTGCATTTCATATTTGAATATAAGGATTAAATTCATAAAAGATAGTTTCACAATAATGATACGTTCCAAATCTAAAAAACCAAGTTTACAGCTTTTTTGCAGGTAAATTATAGGTTACGTTTAACCATAAAAAAGGACGAAGAGTGGTAATAGATATTGAAGTTCTTTACTTGTCAATATTAAACGCCATCTATATATATATTTTATAGAACTTTTGTAACTATAAATCTGTTCTTTTTTGTTTTCTGCTGCATCTGTATTTATAAATAAACTACATATATATAAATATATACATATAAATAATATACAAAAAATAAAAATTTTTAAATTAAAAAAAAAACAACAGGAATTCTAAATAAAAATCTGGAAAGCTATACAATTAATTATAATTTTATGATAAACATTCGTTTAAAATACTGTTTCAAGACAAATAAATAAATTTAAAAAAAATGACCTAGACACTTTTTATACATTAATACATTCTTCATTTATAAATTTATATTATTTATAATTACTCTCTCTCTCTCTCTATGGTAAAGCTGTAGAATTTTCTTTTTTACCATCAAGAATATGACTAACTTAATACAATATGCAAGAAAGTGATTCAAGAACAGTATTTATAAATAAGATTCTATTTTATAATAAAATATCTAATATTTTTTTCAATTACATACAGAAGCATCTCATAAATATTTTACTACAAGATGTGCAAAGTAAATTATTATTTTATACATCTTTTTATATCTATTTTAGTATTTATATTTACATAGATATAAACTTTTACAGTAATAACTCTAAACAGCTTGCAATTTGTAGTTTTTCTGGTAAGCAATAGTAGCAATTATAAATTATGAGAAAAATTAGCAATATAAATTATATAAGAATTAAAATTAACAATTATAAATATATCTAACAATCTTTGAAACATCTATGTAAGGTAAACTATCACTAAAATAATGACTATACATGTAATAGTCATACCAGCAACTAAAATAAATCCGTCTTGCTTAGCTCTCTGTTCTATAAGTCTCATAGTAGTGTTGGAAAGACCTAAGGTATTACCAATGTCTATCAAGCGTTTATGAGCTCCCTTCAATGTTAATCTTTGAGATCTCAAGTTATCCAAAACACTACTTCCCTGATGTAACAGATCGTCTATGCCGTGAACAGCATTGTTCAAACTATTATTATGTTGCGCTGTATGATCAATTAAAATATCTACATGATCATTAGTAGTAAATTGTCTAGCCAGTAAAGCCTCTCTTTCTGCCTCTTCTCTTTGATGTCGCATCACACGATTACACCATGAATTTAGAGCAGCAGTAAGATGACGACTGTCATATTTCAGCTGGTCTACTCTCATTCTGGCATTTTGCCTCTGCGACACAGGACCTTTGAGACATAGTACATCGAGTCGCTCACAATTGCTAAAGAAAAAGATCAATAAAAAACGTTAAAAAAATTATATACAGTGTACACTGTACGTAAAAAATGATGCAAGTTATGCATATTATTCTGCTTTTAACTACCTGTTGATGAAGTTGATTTTACTCTCTATAGCTTCTTTTATTTCCTGCAAATCCGCATTTGCAGACTTTCTCTCCAATTGAGTGAAAAGATGTTGTGTTTCCTGTACTAATTTATTAGTTTGATGATATAACGTCTCCATATCTTTGTTTTCCTCAAAATTTTTTACCAGTACAGCGACCGAAAACCATAAAAATCATAAAATGCAATAATCCAATGACGTGTACTAACCATAAAACATAAAATATATAGATTCGACACTCTTATGCAAAACAGTAACAGTATGACAAACGTACTGATTGGCTACTTGTGTATAGAGAATTTCTTAAGATTCTAAAAATTTATTGGTCATTATAATAAGCAGTTTAGTTGTATTTAATAGCCAATGAAATAACGTCTTACAAACTATAATTATAGTTTCAACATTTAAAATTGTTACACAATTTAGATATCTATAATTTCTAAATTAAAATTATTTTAATATTTTTTTCAACACAAAAAAGTATTGCAGTTTATTTACTAATACATTTTTTTCCCATATCTATTAAAATATTTCAATTTTATTTGAATGTCAAATAATTAAAATTAGAATTAACTTGTATTACGATTTTGACACACTGAAAATCGTGCCTTGATAGATGCTGCAGCACAATTACTCACAGAACGGCAAGCAGCAAAGACGCTTTCAAATCGTTAATCGTATAATAATTGTTTTTCTCGTAAGTATTACTTTCTACAAGTGATTCTCGTATGTGATAACTTATTGTACATATTTCGTAAAATGTCAGATGTTTGTTGTAACACGCTAGGTATCGTGTACGATTGTTATTATAGGTCGACTGTGATCACGGTTTCGACAATCTGCTCTTTCATATTCAGAGTCCCTTTGGCTTTGCGCATTTCAAGTTATTTTCTGCTAGAAGTGTATGAAAAATGCAATGGCTGGAAAATAATCATCTTCAGGTATGCAAATACTACTTTTATCAATATTTTCTAATATTTCTTGTAACATTTACGTGAAAGAAGTACGCAAAGAAGTACAAACAAAAATATTATTTTGCGAGTTTTACATATTGATAAAGCTGAAACCATCATCATGATATAAAGAATTTTAATAGAGTCCTAATTATTTAATTATTTAATCAAATTGAATTAGTTAAATCAAAAATTGCGAGAAGAGTATAAGCCTAAGCAGAATGGCTGTCTTATAATTTTAAGACAGCCTTAAGTCTTTGCTCGAAGTGACGCACAATACTGTTTTGTGTCTCGAGTCTTAAACGTATATACACCGTGTCACGCTACAAAAAGTACGTGTGATAAACGAATATATATAAAAAAGAACTATATATATACACAACTACTAATAAAAGGTAAATATTTCATAAACATTTATAATATAATATATTTAAATCTGTTAAATATGTAATAACAATTTTATGCATTGCAATGTATTTCAATAAATGAATATAACCTAACTTTTTTATAAAAAGGATTTATTAAAGGTTATACTTATTTATAAATCAAATTTTTGATCCAATATTATATGTTTAAACTTAATTGTATATCTAATTATTATATAATTATTTAATCAAAATTATCTTGTTATTTAAATTGTATTACATGGATTGACAAATTAAATCTATATATCTATAGTATCTAGTACATTAGTATACTTTTTTGTTAATTGTTTCAGTCAATTAAAATGGAAGATCATGAATATTGCGAATCTAACATATGTGAATCATATGTATACAGTCAAGAGATATCAAATGAACAAGAAAATATTGCTATAGAAAAAAAAATGGTGATGCTTTTCTCATTAAATTATACAGAGAACGCCCATTTTTATACAATAAAAGACATAATGATTTTAAAGACAGAATAATTAAAGATAACGCTTGGAATGAAATGTCTAAAATTATGCTAAATAAAAATTATAGTAAGTTACAAATGTTATTTTTTTTAATAATATATTTTTTATCACATTTTATTGCTAATTTTATATTATGGATAAGTAAATATGATAATGGATTTAAGTATCTCAAAATTTTCAGGTAATTTTTATACACCTGAATACTGCCAAACTAGATGTACATCTTTAAGAAATCAATACAATCGTGAGAAACGAATCTTGAATGGTCAATATAAAAGTGGAAGTGCTGCTTCAACTCACAAACTCTTTGTATTTTTTTCCCAATTGTCATTTCTTGACAATTATGTCAGACAGCGAAGGTTTGTAGTTATTATTGCTTAAAAATTTTTTTTAATAGTATAATATATACTTATATATTTTTATATTTTCAGAACGCATAGTAATATAAAAGCGATTGAAACTTCATCTTCTACATCATCTTCGGAGTTATCAGTCAATATTCCAAAATTTAATGAAGTATTTCATAAAATATCAAGCGATTCTGAAAAAGAAGATAATTCTAATAATGAGGAGAAAAACAAAGAAAATATTCTTAAAAAATTAGATACAAAACCTGTGAAATACAAGAAACGCAAAATAGATGAAACGAAAGAATTTGAAAATATGTTTTCATCAGTTACACAAAAACTTGTCAATGTTTTGGATAACAAATATGAAAATGAAGATGAAGCATTTAGTCGGTTTATCATTGCTCACTTGTCAAATCTTCCACAAACTGAAAAAAATATCAGGAAGAAAATGATAACAGATGCTTTATTTGCTTCATTACAAAAAACGTAATATGTCTGTTATATATTTAACGCGTGATTTTTCTTTTTACATTTATTATTGAAACATTCATTTTATACAAAAGTTTTTCATTTTTTTATATTATCAATAATAATATCAAAAATATTATAAAGATTTTGAGTTTAATTTGCTACTGCCATCAAGACAATACTATAATATTTTTTGTAATTAAAATACAGGGCTTGTTCGTTTTAGCTACACTGGGGCTGCTCTGGTTCTGCTCTACACAGGATAATACAGGACAGATAAATAGTTTGTCTTGTATTATCTTGTTTAGAGCAGACCCAGAGCTGCCCCAGTGCAGCTAAAACGAACAAACCCACAGACTTCCTGAATTTCGAGGGCATTGCAAAGTGATGTGCTTCTCATCTACTGCCCTCACACAATTTGGCACATTCCATCTGTTCCAAAAGCCTTCAGCATAAGACTTCCATTCTTTTTCATTTGGTTGTGTTAAATATATTGGTTCTAATACATTTATTAGAACTTGGCATATTTCTTTAATTAGCATACGCACTGTCGACTCGCCAACTCGAAATGCTAAAGCGATAGATAAGGGAAGATCTCCAGTGGCAAGATATCTAAGAAAAATTTGTTATTATAATATCCACATTATTATTACTATTATTGATTATAATGAAATACTATCAAGATACGTTTCGAGTGAGATAGTTAATTATCTGTTTTAAAATCTACATCTTTTCTATTTGACAATAAGTATGTACAAGTAATAAATACTATTTTAATTTATACGTAACTAGTCTAAGATAATTTTTTAATACCTATTTAAACCCTATTTTTGTTACCTTAATAAAATTTGTATTTAATTGTTTTGAAATAAAAAATTAAAGTTCAAGTACAAAAATTGTTAAACTACCTTAACACTATTAATAGTCTTTGTTCTGCAGGAAGTGCTCGATAGTGGTTTTTTGTTAAATAAGGTTCAGTTAATTGAAGTAGTTTGTTAAATATTGGTAAAGTCATTCTTGTATAACGAAAAAATAAATCTTTATCTTTTTTCAAATTTTGAAAAAAGTGTTTCATAATCTCCGTATTTGTACCTTAATTGATTTATAGGTCTTACATGCCATTTTCTTTCATACTTTACATGTCTTTTGCGTTTCAATTTGTATATAAACATCCAAAATAAAACAATCAATAAAAATTGTTTCTTTCTTTGCATTATTTTGCACTAGAAATTTTTCTGTAAAAGATTTAATTTTAACATTATAATTGTGTATGAGGGGGGGGGGAGGAAAGCGCGCGTGCTGTACAAATATTTATTCCTATAATTATATTAATCAAAATTTATATAAAATAAAAAAAATATAACAGTATGTTCTAATTTTAATTTGTTAAGTTAAAGCATAAAATGTCTTGTTAAACTGTTTAGCAAAAAAATAGTTATATAATTTTAATAACAAAATAATTTAGATTACATATAAAATAATTATATATACATATAATTAGATTTAGACATATAATATTAGATCAAAAATTTGATTTATGAATAAGTATAACCTTTAATAAATACTTTTTATAAAGAAGTTAGGTTATATTCATTTATTGAAATACATTGAAATGCATAAAATTGTTATTACATATTTAACAGATTTATATATATTATATATTATAAATATTATATATTATAAATATTTATAAAATATTCACCTTTTATTAGTAGTTGTATATATATATATATATATATATATTTGTTTTTTATTATATATTTGTTTATCACACGTACTTTTTGCAGCGTGACATGATGTATATACGTTTAAGACTCGAGACACAAGACAGTATTGTGCGTCACTTCGAGACAAAGATTTAAGGCTGTCTTAAAATTATAAGACAGCCATTCTGCTTAGGCCCTTAGAAATAGGCTGGATTGTTTAGGCATCTCTCAGGAAATCGTAACATTTTTTTCACTACATAAATAATGTTTATTTTTATTAATACATAATATACAGGGTGCGTCAGCTAAATCCGGACAAAATTAAAATTAGAATTCCTTGCTACGTGTGAATTTAGGAACAAATGATTGTTAATGTTTGCGTTAGTCAAATGTTTGTGTAAAACGTGTATAACCTTTAAAATGTCCGAGTTAATAAAATCAAGTGCGGAATACAATCGAAGAGCGGCGATAATTGAAGCGCTTCGCGCCGGACGTTCGCCGATCGAAATTATTCGGTTCTTCAAGTACTCGAGATCGACAAAAGTGAGTCGAAGGAACGACCGTTGGCTCGCCCGTGATCCCGAGGATGTCCCCATAATAGGCAGGACGAAGTTTCCAGCCAATGTTCACGTCTTAAGCGTCGTCTCTAATGAGGGTGATGTCATGCCACCGTATTTCTTTAAAAGGGAGAAACCATCACGAAGGAGGTTTACCTCCGGATTTTGAGGACTGTAATAAAGCCATGGATGGAAACTACGGCCTCCGGGAGGCCGTACATTTTTCAACAAGACGGTGCACCGGCTCACACAAGCCAATTAGTGCAAAATTGGCTTAACGATAACGTGGATGCGTTTTGGTCCAAGGAATTCTGGCCTCCTAATAGTCCGGATTTAAACCCCCTAGATTATTATGTTTGGGGCGTTATTGAAAGATTGTCTAACAAGTCCAGGCACCCCAATGTGGCAACTCTTCAAGCCGCTATTGAAGCAGCATTCGTTGATTTAGACAAGGAGCAGTTGAAAAGAGCGTGCTCGCACTTCAGGCAAAGGATTGAAGCAGTGATCGCAGCAAACGGGGGTTATA